AGACAAGCTTTGTATTAGTTTCCTGCAATGAAAGCTAACTGCACCAGTGCTATTTAGTCCTTGCATCTTGAAAATATAGGCACAATACTATAGGGCTGACAACAAATCAACAAATTAAGTAAACCTAGCATGCTTGATGCTTTAATCTTATTGGCACTTGCTTGAATACTGATACTGTTGATTTAAAAACTTACCAGCTTCCTGGCAGATGCAATTTTATCAGCTTTGGATGCCATGTCCATCCTATACCAATCTGCAATACAAAAGATAACCCACTTCAATAAGAAGTATAGGTACGGTTCTCCAGTAAAAGTCTTGTTGGTTTTGCTTTTTCGGACATATCTGGTCCTATATAATGTTCAAATGCATAAGTATCGACCCGAATTATGTGTATGCACATTTACCACGAGACTGTTAAATTGCATCGTTGTATGCCAAATACTTTCCGAGATATTCACCAAAAACCTCATTTTCTGCCGTTTGGGGTATTCTGGCCGCAATCTTCCTGGGATCGCCTATGACATCAGTAGAGCCATCTAACGAGAGGAACGCGGAAACACAGAACCATGAATGAATCGAGCGCGTAGTAAATTGTGTATGAAAGGGAGACTCGGCAGAGGCTATCCGGGTGGCCGGCGCGCGGCGCGCCCTTAGGCATCGGCCGACCCTTCGGACCGCGTGGGGTCAGAGGTCGCGCTCGGGAAGTCTCGGCTCTGGGTTTAAGCGCTGTGCAGTCAGGAAGGGAGGATAGGATAGCGCTAGCCCGACTGACTAGTATCTCGGCTGATTCGTGCGAGGTGGGAGGGGGCACAGAACGGGATGGTGGCTAGTGGTGGATGATGGGATGGTGGTTAGGTTAGTGCGTACTGCGTAGAACGCAGCTGAACATGCATTGTTTTTTCATGGCAAACAACATGCAGCATAATGTGCGGGATTATGCCAGAACTCATACAAAAGTCAAAAGGGTAATAATATTTCGGCCGAGGGAGTGGATGAGTGCCATGACAAAGCATGACGATGCTGCCAAAATCGGGATGCTTTTTTGCCCCCATTTTTTACCCCTAACATGCAGCGCTTAATCCGAACTTAGAGGTCCCCGACTGACCTTAGACCTTAAAATCGCACCTGTCCGGTGCGCCACCTTTTCTTCAGGGGCGCTCTTCTTGGTTGTATCTGTTCTTACCAATAACTAAAACAAATCGAATGTTTGATAGAAAGGCATACCTGGAACACAGTTTTATTCACACCCGCTCGTGTGCATACTTGTTTTGACCTATACCTTCTCGCATCATAATATCACTTCAGTGCTTAACCCTCAACGGAATTTTGGGTTTTCTGCATACGAGTATACCCCGGCCGAGGGTTGTTGATTGCGACCCCTCTCCGTCTTTTTGCCCCTAATTGAGCTAGCGCCTTGCGGATAAAACTGAGCGCGTGCGTCGTATGAGATGCAGCAACTGGTACCCGATTTGAATGTCTCGGGTCAACCGATAAACTCTGAGGTCAGCTCAAAGTCGCGGGATCGGTTTTTGGTAAACAACTTCACCACTTAAGTGGTTACAGAGCCAACATTATGGCATCATCGAGTTTTGCATGCTCAACTTCAAGCGCGTCGAATAGTATACGCTTTGTTTTCGTTGAGGTCAATTTAAGGCATGTTCACATCAGGTCATGGTCAGGGCAGAGCCACTCAGGCCACGAAGCTGGCCCAAGGAGGTCATATATGTAGCTTCTTCGATTCGGTAGGTCCTCACAAGTCCACTGGTGGCTTCCCGACTCGCTAGCTCAATTTGATCGGGACTTTTTGGTGAAAACTCCTGTGACCTTAGTGACGTCATAAATGAAGTCGCCTAACTTTAAGAATGGAAAAGTGCATGCTGGGGCTTGCAAAGATTGTATAAAATCGCGAATTAATGCGCTTGAGACAGCTTTAGATGGCTCCTGGCGCCAAAATAACAGCTTTCATATTTCCCAACTGATTGATAATCGTGAGGTTGCGTGTCCGACCTGACTTCAGGTCACTCTTAAAAAAAATACAAGATAGCTACATAAAAGTTGTGAGGCCTCTGTGAGATAGTATTATATCATATAAGCTTCATTCCCCGTCGAAAAGTCCCCTGGCACGAAGGGTGCTGCGACGTCGCGACATTTTGGGACCTTACAGAGGTTCACTTTTGACGTCATTGGTCAACGGCCTGACCTTAAAGGAACTATCCCACCTTATAAAATGTTGTTAAAACCAGTTAAATTGTGCCCGACTTTATAGATTGGATGACCAGGAACACGGTTCTGGCATTTATTTTTCATTAAACATCTTAGGCTTCCCATATTCCAAACACAAACTTTCAAATATGTGACGTCACAGCCCAAAATTACCTCCTTCCCCAGGCCACATTACTGTCATAAAGCTGATTCTTTTTACTCTGTGGGCACCACAACAAAGTTCAGACCAAGTTTAAAGCGATTTTTCAACGAACAAACCCATTTAAATCAGAATGACTAAACGAGGTGACGTCACACTAACGGTCGCTCCATGTTGAAGATAGGGCCTTGCGCAAGGCCCATTTTCAAATGAAGGGAACGAATTTCTTCAACACCAAGAGGCCGCGGGGGTTGCAACCTAGATAGATAGTGGTTTCTGAACCTCGCCGCAAACTTGGCTATCTCAACTCAAACCCCATGTTAAAGGTGGGATAGTCCCTTTAACCTTCGCACTTGTAGGAGGGTGTCGAACAGCCCTCCTAGTTCCTACCCTACCCTCAGTTTTTCGCAAATAACTCGCGCAAAAAAGCGGCTGATTGCGACGACACTTTCAGTACCCTCGAGTTAATCAATATTACGCCTACCCTGTAATTTATATGACCCTGACTCAAAAGACCTTTGACTTGTGACTTGTTTTCCGAAACCATGTTTGGCCGGAATCGCGTTTTGGCGTATTTCGCGTAGAGCGCGTTTTATTGTCTTTTTGTGGTCTTTCATTATCAAACATGTGAAAGGATGTTAATCCCATGGATTCTAGTGGGTATCAAGGTCACGTGAAGGTCAGTCAGGTCACTGATCTTTGATGACCTTTGTTCACTCTTTCGAGTTCTACATGTTTCTAGGGTAGATTTTGGAGTTGATTTCGCATTTAGAAACCGTTTGAACATTTAATAAGTATTTTTGGTTCCCTCGTAACATGTGACCTGATGCACGAAAACATCATCTGTGATCAAAACTAACTTGAAATTCGTGATCAGCACCCCGCAAAACCCTATAACAGCTTCACTTTACGAAGCTCTAACAGGTCCCGATTCCCCGACTTTTGAGTTGTATTGACCTGTCAACCAATGACCTAGGACCTTGAAATTGGGTATCATCGGCCTCCTCTCGTCACGGGCAACACGCTCTTTTTCCGCGAAGCGTTAGCTCGATCAAGGGCTGAACGGCAAAGGGGTCCAATGGACCCTCCTCCCCCCCCCCCTTACGATAGACGCTGGCAAAACACCAATATGGGCGAGGGTGAAAATACAGCTGCTGTCATAAAAATTCAGCTTGAATCAAAGGTCAGGCTTGCCAAATTTCAGCTTTCGCAGCTGTCAAAAAAAAAAAACATGTGGAGGCGGCACCCGCCTCCCCGCCCCCCGCCCTTTCCTCTCGGCCACTGCCAGCGAGGTTTTAAGCGTATCATACACGTTACAAGGCATCATATATCAAGATGACACACCCCAGCAGCCATATGCACTGAACAAAAACTTATTACCCACGCTAGTCTATCGGCACCATAGCACATGGTCGAAACTGTCGTCAGCCACGGACGCGCACTCGACCAACCCTCTGAGCCCGTTGACTGCGGGTGACCTTGACATGTCAAGCCTGATCGGCGGCCGGCCGCTGTCGTGCGTCGTTACACACGGAGGGGAGGGAGACACAAAGCTCTGCGTTATAGTTGACCTCTGACCTTTCCCTGCGCCCTGGTCACTGACCCCGCTCCATGTCGCTGGGCGGTGGCATGGCGGTGGAAACCGGTTCTAGCCTCTACACACGTCACCATTCTAACCCTCCCCTCCCCACGCTACTACGCGGCGTGGAGTACGCTCGTGCGTAACTGGGCGGAGCAAGGGGTCACGCAATACAGGGGCGGAACTGGTTGCCCTCCCGCTCGCCGATCGACCAACGACTAATACCCTGGAGAACCGTACCTAAACACAACTTTTAACAATCTAAACAAAGGCACTGCTGCATTTCTGCTTTCTAGCATAGGTACCAGTGTTTGTGATTTTCTATCATTACTTTGTGATGACTACCAACTTACCAACTACCAACTTACCAACCGTACCTAATCTAGACATTTACCGAACTCTCTACGTTGCGGCACCATTCCCTTTTAATGAATTCAATTTCACTTCTCATTTATATGTATCTGTGACACAGACACCTATGGCAAATTGTTGTTTTGATTTGTGTACTTTTTGCCCTATATCAACAGGTATCCATGAAAATTATCAACAACAAACTTAAAAAATAACACTCAGTTTTAAGTAGTTCCCAGCACGCTTTGAACAAAATGTACTTTACCAACACAACTGGTATACCTTACCACTGATAAGAGGAGAACTTTGAAGAAGATGATGTTTCAATTATACGAGGCCCAACCAGCATCCGACAATATCCACAAAATAACAAAATATTTGTCTATAAAAGATTTGCATTTCGCGTCACTTTTGTCCCAGCATCTTCGGCACCTGACGCGTCACGGCTGCTATTTTGCTGCCACAAATATTGGGTTCCGTGGGATGCTTGCTATTCAGACTTTAAAAGTCCTGTCGAAAACTAAAATGTGCTTACGACGGAAAAAGTAATGTACAAAAGTTCAGGGCAATCCTGTTGACGAAGCAGACCATGAATGTTACTCCATAGGAGCGGATGCGAAAAGAAGGTGCGCTACATTTAGAACGTAAGTAATTTTTTTCTCAAAACGTTCGCCATTCCTGCCACCAGCAAACATACCGAAAACGTCATTCTCGTATCGTGGGTATATTTGTTCCGATAGAAGTGACTGATCTAATATCACTTCAGAACGCATCGTCCGCGGGGACAAATAACACATGACTAGGGGACGGGGAGATCACGCGACCGACGCCGGCTCCGAACGATTGCCGTTGCGCGACTGAACGTCCCGACAGCTGCTCAGCCGTATGAGCTGTCGGTCGTGAAGCGTCCACAGGGCAGACGGCGCATCGCACCATGCAAGGACACAGGTAGGAGCTACAGGGTAACTGGGGGCACATGTAAAGCGACGGAAAACACATCTCGAAAGCCTATCACACAACCGCGGATGGATTCTAAGCTGATAAATCATCAGACGATATCTAATGTTCAATGAATTTGCGCTACACTCGACACACGATAAATTCACGGCACCGCGACTCCTTAAATCACACGTTGCCGTGATAATAGTACGGACGTGTTCAAACACCACACTATCAGAGTCAGACGCATTCACGCGCACATTCGCCACCATTGCGTGGCGAAAACAACACTCCCAAGTATATGTTTGCTGCACACGGCCGCAGAAATGTAAGCTGTGCTGTGCAGCGAAATAATCCTTCGCGTGAAGAAAGGATGCTTCAAAACTTGCCCTTACAATGTGATGACTGATAAATAATGATGATAGGAAACATGATATACAAGCAATCACGGGCTTGGCTGAGCTTCCTTCGATCAAATCGTGCTAACTACGTACTGTGAAAATACTACGCTGATGTGAGTCATTCACCATCTACATACTATCGGCGCTTGCAGAACAAGACTGCACTGCATACGAAACAGCTGACAGAGCCTCTGAATTGTGGCATAAAACGCCTATCCGGTAAATACATCACAAAAATGACTTATCTTCCAGCGGGCAATCAAAAACCACATGGCCAGCCGCGTCACAATAGACACACGGCCCCTGGCCATCTCAATTCCCACCTACATCTGGCCGGCCGGCCGAGTAGCGCATAATAGCCCTACTACCAGTCAGAACACGACACGGCGGACCTCGACCCCGCCCGGCGGCTCCCGGCTGCTAACCCTCCCGCCCGCGCCGCCTACATCCTGGCGGAGGCGCCATACTCTGCGGGCCGATCGCGGTCGGGCAGCCGGCGGCGAGTGTAGACGACGCGCCGCTCGCCGGGCCGGATCAGCTGGTCGCGCCGCTGCCAGGCCAGCTCCTCCTCCTCCTGGCGGCGCCGCTTGGCGTCCACGTAGCTGAACACGCAGCTGGCCGGCACCCAGATGATGATGCTGATCACCAGCACAGTGCCCACGATGTTGTCACGCAGGAACCGCAACACCTGGGTGAGGGGGACGGGTTAGTAACTGGGGAGGCAGGAGGTCGGTGACTTGTTGCCATATGAATTAGGGGCGGGGCGTGATGGTGAAAATTAAAAACTGGAGTGCTGCAGAGACTAGGGTGGAAAGGTAGACTTGTCATAAACGGCCCAGGATGGAAAACTTGGTTCCGTATAAGAACAATACTTTTTTACCATTGAGCGCACCAGCATGAAGTGGCGGCTGAGGTCTGCATAGACTCTCACCCCATCACCAGTCAAGTCTACCGACCTCACCAGTCTCCTACGCACCTTGTTGATGTTGATGTCCTCGATGATGTCCCAGAAGCGTTCGACCACGTCCTGTACGGTCTTCTCACAGACACCCTGCGGTGCACCGGGTCAGGGGCACAGGTCAGATTCGCGGGTTCGAGTGGGGCATGCAAAAAAAAGCGCCCGGCCGGTTAAGTTCGAACGATCCTCAATGTGACCTTCCTGATATAACAACCTAATCAGGTATCCAAACTTATCGACACTGTCAAGCCAAGCGCTAATCACGCATACTTTTGGTCAATACCACAACACCAAGATGAAACCTTGCTTACATTTCCAGTCCACGTTCGCACCACGCTCTCTCGAACAAGTAACAAGTATCAACCCTAATTAGTGACTACCGTCTACCATATTGATCACATTGCCTTTCGTATCCCCCTCTTCTTCATCAACTGACCATGTTGTTGCACAGTCCGTGCATGCAGGGCGTTCCTCCGGAGAGGGTGCGCAGCGGCTCCTGCGCCGTGCACGTGTCGTTGAGCGACTTGCGGCAGCACAGGTTACACGCGTACTTCTCCACGTCGCACATGCAGCTGTGCAGGCCGTTCAGCTCGCAGAACGACACGCACTTGCCGGCGCGGCAGCGACCGCCGTGCTCCTGACACTCGGTGCCGTCCACCATTGGAGCAGAGGCCGGACAGTCGGCCCGGGCGCCTGACAGAGCAATGGGGTGACCAAGGGTTAGATAGATCCATCGAGGCAGAGGCCAGGCAGCCAGCGCGCGCGCCTGGCAGACAAAGTGAGAGGAACTGTGGGCCAACCAGCGTTAGGTGCCAAGAGGTAGGAGTCCCTGTCACCTTCTCAAAACGAAATGAGTCACCCAAATGGTCATCTATCGTCCTCAGTGCTTCCCTCACCGCCGTTCCCACCACCCACGCACCAATGAAACTACCGTATCCCCTTCCTACTTCCCCACAACCACCCTCTACCCCCCCCCCCCTCCCCACCCCACCCTACCACCTTTCTCACCGTTGCAGGTGGCCTCCTTCTCACAGGTAGCCAGACTGGCCTCTCGGCATTTGGCTCCCAGCTGCAGGTACTGACAGTTGCTGCAGCACGGAGAGTTCTTGTCGCTGCACACGGCGCCCGTGTTCCGGCGCAGCTTGCAGTTCTTGTCGCAGCACGAGTCCTCGTCCTCGGAGCCGACCAGACCGGCGTCACACTCCTCGTCGCCCTCGACACGCAGGTTTCCGCAGAACGACTCCTCGGGCTCGGTGAAACAGCGGGATGACTTGGCCTTCAGCACCAGGTTGATGGAGCGCAGAGAGCACGGGGAGAAACGCTGCGCAGAGTCGGGGCACGGTGCATGGTCAGTTAACTGGGACGTACGGATAGCGTCGGATCTGGGGACTGCCGTGTGAGCTGCATGCAGTCTAAAATGTGTATAATTTGCAATTGATGAACGACAATTTTTAGGTGGTCGCGCCATTGGTACTCTGCGTTAAAATCAAGATACTCATAAAATTTACATATTCTCAAACAACTTCCATTGTAAAACCCGTGTATCTACTACTACTCACTAGGCTGCCCGCAAGGGCCTTCCCTAGTCTGAATCGGGTCATTTCCCTGCGGCAGAGCAGCTTGCTCACCTTGTTGTTGAGGTCGTATCCGGACACGGAGTAGGTGTACATGAGGTAGGAGCCGCCCTTGCTGGCGCTGGGCGAACACTCGGCCATGTCGGGGTCGTGCTCGCTGCCCCAGTTATGGCCGAACTCGTGGGCCGTCACCAGGTCGGCCTCGCTGCAGACAGCGGGGCAGAGAGGCAGAAGGGGTCATAAGGGTCGGCGATATGTCGCAAGGCGAAGTACACCGCAAGTGACACGGTAGTACAAGAGAACACACAACACAACCCGCTATACACTTTACAGGGTTACACGAGAGGCTAACAAGCGTAGTAGCACAAGTAATGTGCGTTTCGCTCGCGTACATACCTACTTCTACGAACACACAATGTGTGATTTCCTCACGTACCGTGTGATGACCCGCTGGCCGTAGTGATTCCGTGAGGAGCTCAAGCCCGAATTCAGGTACAGAGTGAATCCGTTCTTGAAATACTCTGCAGGGTATCAGAGGAAAGATTATCAGCAGGGCTGGATAGAAGAGGAAACAACAGACAAGTCCGGAATTGATGGTGCAATGTGCAAAGGAAATGAGTGATCTTCGTAATAACTAATAAGTGATTTAGATACTCAGCAGGGAATACGACTGAGTCCGGGCCATAAGTGTAGCCATTAAATATGCAGCGTCAAATATCAATCCTTACCCCGCCGCTGGCTAGTGTCGCCAGAAACTTGAATCAACATCTGCCAGGCCTCAAACTGGACGCAAACAGCGAGCAGTTACTACATATCTGAATCCACGCATGACAGTTCCCACTGCTCTACCTCCGCTCCAATCGGCACGTACCGGGCGTGCAGATGCCCCCGACCGAGTTGCGTCGCGGAGAGCCCACGTAGGCCAGCCCCAGGATGCCGCCGTCGAACCGGATGTCGGTGAACAGGTGCGCCAGACAAAAGTCCTTGTGAGTGTAGTCGCGGCTGAACACCTGTCGCGGGCGGGCGGGCCGTCGGTACGGCACGAAATACACGATGGGGAGGTCACACTAAAAGCGGCTGCAAATCAATATCAATGACCGTCCATGGTAAGTGACAAGTTTCGGATCACTCGGCCAAATATTTCTCACGGAAATCAAAAACTAAAATCTACACCGTTGTGATATAAGACTGCACAAAAAATGACTTTTAGAACAAAAACAAAACAGCCTACACATATTGACTCATGAACTCGAAATGGGCATTGGTCACTCGCCGACTGTCCGCTGAGGGTAGTGAGCCCCTCTAAGTCTCTCCGTCATTTCAGTCTCGGCCCGGTACCCACCACGGGCTCTCCGCGTCTCCACTGAATCAGACCGCACGTTGAAGATTCCCGGTAGAAGGTGATCTGTTATGGTCCTCTGCTCGGCCAGTCGGTAGGTCGGTCAGAATTCAGCAGTCAGTGAGCCGGCCGTCTGTCGTCTCTTCTCTTCGTCTATTCGTCTGCTAGTAGATCAGTCTCGCTCAGTCAGCTGGCACCGGCCAAAAGTCGGTAACATTACCAAGCAGTCTAAAACAAAAGTAAAAGAAACAAACGCTACGTTTTTCACATGTAACCAAATTTCATAGTTCTTGTCACCCATGTCACACTGCCCGACAATAAAGTAAAATTGTATCCCCCATCCCACTAATTTCTGTGAAGTCCACCAGCATTCACCCTCCTACGTACCTCGAGCAGGTGGCGCACGTCCCAGCTGCCCGTGTCTAGCCCCCACCCCAGCAGCAGCAGCAGCACCAGCAGCCTCCCCCGTACCTCGAGCAGGTGGCGCACGTCCCAGCTGCCCGTGTCCAGCCCCCACCCCAGCAGCACCCCCCGTACCTCGAGCAGGTGGCGCACGTCCCAGCTGCCCGTGTCCATGTTGTAGTGCTCCTGGCCTCGCGCCACCGGCGTGTGCTCGCTGTGCACCACGATCTTCTTGATGACGAAGCCCATGGCTCCCAGGTGGCGCTCCCCCACGCCTCGGTCGCGGTCGCCCGCCGCCCACACCGTGTCGCGGTAAATCTTGTCTACACGGTCGATCAAGCTGATCTGTAGGCAGTGACACCGGATGGGTCAGGAGCGAACGTTGTAAACGTGGCAGCAGAAAGCTCAACAGGTTGTAATATCAAGAATAATGGCGAATAAATGAATGGGAAAGTCATCAGTGTGCCCATGGGCAGCGTTGGGACGCCCATGTGCAGACCATATGCCAGTCGATTAATCAATTGTTGGGTTTAGGAAGAGAGGGGGACATCGTGACCATTGAGCGCCCATCCTATCCGGTCGTACCAGGTAGTTGATAGTGGTCTTAGTGTTGCTGCTGCCCATGTCCTTGTAGAAACGGTAGTCGGCCACCAGCAGCAGCGGACAGCGCGTCTTCATTATGTTGAACGTGAACGCCTCTGTGGTCTGGCGCTTAGCTCGCACGTGAGGACCTGGACCGCCCTCCTCGCCCCACTCCGGGCCTGGGGACAGTCAGAAAAGCCATTAGATATTGTTCAATGCCCGTGTAGATTAACTATCAAGACGGAATTTGTGACCGAAGCTGAACGCTGACCCGCGTGCATAATTGCATTATAATAACATAGGCAATGATACTAAGATCGCGTCAAAAAGCACCATCAGCTATAAATATAAAAAACGTGAACATATCAACACAAGAAGCTACACTTCATGTTTGCCTGGATGGTGCTAGCGCCAGACGGTCGTCAAACGATCGGCTGAAAAAAAAACTTCCGAGCAACCAATCGCTGGAAGCGGCCGCTAGGAATTCCGCCAGGCACCGTCCTTCGTAAACTGTAATGCAACAAAGTATCTCGTCTCCAACTATCGCGCTCGAACTATCCTTCCATGCATTGTCCCTCCGAAGAGCTGTATTTCTTTTTCTGAGCACTGCCCTCCCGGCCGCTCACCTGTGGCGTTCCCCTCCTCGCGCACGTAGGCGCAGTGGGAGCCGAGCGAGGGCAGCGGCAGGCCCGGCTGGCCATCCAGCACGTCCGAGCTGCGGTAGGTGATCATCCGAGTGCGCAGCGGGTCGTCGATGTGGCGCCAGGCCGGCTGAAAATGACGCACGACGGTCACGGCTGCGGTAAGGGCATCATCACGGGAAATAATGCGGACGTGGAAGTCGTGAGCGTTACAAAGAAATGACACTATAAGATGTCACTACGAATCGTTCATCAGCAAGCCATACACTCAGGCATGTGACAAGTGTTGACTCAGATGCCACTGAATGACTAACCACTAATACCACCCCTGTTTGACTGCCCACTAGGGTAGGGTCTAGGTCAGACCAATCAGACCAGACTAGACATAAATCTATCGGCCATAGCTCTATAAGACGTCGGCAGTCTTTACCTCAATGTGGTACGTATCCTCCTTCGTCCGTACGGTAGCCGTCATCACGCCGTCCTCGATAAGAGCGCTGACGTCCGACTCTATCTCGCCGAACACACGGCCCTCGTACAGGTCGTGGTGCTCCGGGTCTGTGACGGTCACAAGGCATGAATATCATACAGGTAATTTGTTTGTAATTATAACAGGTCACAACAGGACAGGATAATCATTCAAAATCTTGATATTGACATGTTTTCACAAAGTTATGCAGGGTTGGTATGGTCAACTTGATATCCACAGAAGTCAGAAACTATGATAAAAAAATTGATCCAGCGAGTTTACACGATAAACCAAAGACAAAAGTAAGTTAAAGGCGGCAAGGCCTAATTAATGGAACCTTACCGATGTGGTGGAGTTTTTCCTTTCCATCCTTGTCCACTTCATATGCCTTGAACTGGCTGTGTAGCAGATACTTTCTTGGTGAAAGCATAAGCTTGAAATCCCTGTGACAAACAATTACAGTATTAAAAATAAAATCACACCAGGTTTTTAAACGATAAAAACATTACATTACATACAATGTTACAAACATCACACATTTTCCTCTCATGCAATCAAATTCTAAAGATAGTGGATAAATTGCATTAACCATAACAGATCTAAAAACCTCCAGTTCCAGCATATGTACCTACCTGCCCAGTGTTTTGAATGTTAGCTCTTTGATTTTGTTGAAAGGATGAGGGCTGCTGTTGATGCCTCGCTTCACAATTGTGTGGCTTAGCTCACTTGCATGCATCACCTCATGGTACTTCAGTCGATTGATGAGTGAGCCTGAAAACACAGTTATGCTGCTAAATAGTGTGGTTGATCATCACACTTCTATTCTAAAAACTTTGGCCTCAAAAAATACACTAGCAAGGAGTAAGTGAGTTATGGAATGAAATCACTTGACCTGCACTCAAGCATGAAAAGAACTGTGCAGGGTAAAATATCCCATAAAAATGTGTAACACTAGTGAAATCTTAAATGCACAGATTAAATATAGCTGACTTGACTATGACAATAGTAACATCAGAGCCAAATGCTGAAAGTAGTTTAACTGTTTTGGCTGAATACCTACCTTGGCATATGAAGAAAACGAAACCAAATAGAAAAAACAATCCATTTGTAAAATGCATCTTATCCACCTCTCTTCTCCCAGAGGTCAAAAGTAATTAGCTGTCTTCAACAATGTGATACTGCAGTGAACAACACCAGCTAGGAGCCACCATTATTCTCCATCTGCAAAACACAATGATATTAATGTTGTGATGAGTGACTCAGTTACCTAACAATAAGAAAGCATATAATTCATACTTTTAATTTATTTGAATTCAGCAGCATACAAAATAAAGGATCTTTGGGACCGGCAGCTATCTCAACACTTGTATGCACTGGTGCAGTTTTTTTAATAGTTCAACAGATCCAAACCACACTATGGAGCACAGAGCTCCTTAATTCAATTGTATAACAGTATAAAATGCAAATGCATCTGATACTGAAGTGGTCCTGATTCTGAATGGGATGCTCACTACTTTATAAGGCATAATTGTGATACAAACTATTACCGATCATATTATGACTAACAAGGGTTGATACTTGCTTGGCACAGACTGCAAAGCATACCAAGAGACAGGGCTGCGGAGTCGATGGATTTTCGGCGACTCCGACTCCGGCTTTCAAAAACAGCTCCGACTCCGACTCCGGGCAGAATTGTCGACTCCGACCGACTCCAACTCCCGACTCCGACTCCGCAGACCTAGCAGGGCTGCGGAGTCGACAGATTTTCGGTGACTCCGACTCCGACTCCGGCTCGGGTTTCTAAAATCGACTCCGACTCCGGTCACAACTGTCGACTCCGACTGACTCCGACTCCGACTCCGGAGTCGGAGTCGGAGTCCGGGGGTTCCGGCGTCTGAGTCCGCCGGAACCCCCGGGCGGGTTCCGGCGGACTCAGACGCCGGCGCCACTCCCGACCGGCGCCCGCGACCCGCCCGCACCTAAGCCACGACTACCACGATGTCGTCGGCCCGGGCAGGGTCAGGCTGGCAGACAGGCTCGGCCTGTCTAGGAGAGAGGGCACCGCGCTGGCGCGCCTCCGGACCGGCCACTCTCCTGCCCTGCAAGCGTACCGTCACTTCATCGGGGTGGAGGAGGACGATGGGTGCCCGACCTGCGACGCGGAGTCAGGGAGGACGCGGAACACTTCCTGACGTCGTCCCCCGCGACGGCCCGCGTCCGTCACGACGTTTTCGGGAGAGGACCCGACGCTGCGGGAGGTCTTCGCTGACCCATGCCGGGTTATCGAGTTCCTGCGGCGCCTGGGCCGACTATAGAGCGCCCACGGCGCTAGACACTCTGGCGGGGTGCTGGTTTCTCCGGCCCTACCCGGCGTCTGAGTCCGCCGGAACCCGCCCGGGGGCCTGCTGCCCTCCCTGCGCGGACGTCGCAAGTGTCGCCCCCGAGGGGGGCTGGGGCCCTCCCGGGCCCCCCATGTGGGCCCGCCGGGCCCGACGGCCGGAACGACAACAACAACAACAACTCCGACTCCGACTCGCCCTGCCAAGAGAGCCTAAAAGGCACAAAAGTGAGGCTACAAATCTGATCCACACCAACACTAAACCAGGCTAGAAATCCATACCAGTAACCAGACAGCAGCCAACAAAACTGAAACATTTCTACTACAAAATTTGGCAGGGCATATTTTAAGGCACTTACTGCGTCCCATTTTGGGACGCAGCCCCCTCGCCTTGGGACGTAGCCCCTGCTGATTTGACCCACTGCGTCCCTGCCCTGTGCCCTGGCCACGCCGATTGTGGATTGCTCTTGATCGTCAATACATACATACATACATACATACCTGACCCGTGCCCTCCTGTCTACCCTGACCTGTACCCTTCCCTCTAAAATGTCCTGTGCCATACCCTGTAACCTGCCGTGCCCTACTTTCTGCCCTCCTCAGTGCCCTACTCTGTTCCTTGCCCTGTGTCCTTAGTCGTAGCACGTGCCCTCTGCTCAACTTTGGGACGCAGTAAAAATTTGTTAAAATATGCCCTGAAATTTGGTGCTCTGCACTTATACTTGCTTACTTACTTAAGACGCACGGAAAATTTTGAGAGGCCCAAGGCCTGTAGTTCGTGATTGACAGTGTTACTGCTCATATGGTAGGGGTGGGGTGAAGTGGAGGTGTCTCCAGTGAGTGTCGAGCCAGTTCTTGAACGAGTTAAGAGAGTCGGCGTCTATGACGGATGATGGTAGGCTGTTCCAGTCGTTAATGACTCTGACTGCAAACGCGTTTTGACGGACGCGGGTGACGGCATGAGGCTTCGCAAGACGCCAGGAGTGTCCTCTTGTATCTCTGGTCGTTACTCGGTTGAAGAACTCCTCCGGATTCAGGTCCAGTCTCCCATGCAGCACATTGTAGACAGCGATCGTGTCGCCGCGTCGACGTCGGTAGTGGGGAGGGAAAGCAGCTTCATGGACTTCAGTCTTTCCTGGTACGGTAGGTGACGTACTTCCTGGACCAGCTTGGTCGCTCGGCGCTGGACCCGTTCCATGAGAAGCTGATCTGTTCGATTGAATGGCCCTAGACAATGTTACCGTACTCCAGGAGCGGTTGCACAATGCATCTTAAACAGGATCAGCAGGGTCATCTTGTCTAGCAGGCTAAATGACTGTCTTATCACGGCCATCACTCGAGATGCCTTGTTGACCGCTGCCGCTGCTTGCCTCCTAAATTTCAGCTACGCGTCAACAATCACTCCTAGATTCTTTTCCTCTGTCGCCGTCTGCAGGACTTCACCGTTCAAAAGGTAGTCGTGCCGGTGGACGTGACCACCAACGTGGAGAAGTTGATATAAGAACAACAAAACATATCAATCATTCCCTATCCTATCATGAAGCTCATACATACATAAAATCCTGGAATCTGGAATATTTTGCAAGCACAGTCAGCCAGACTGCAAAGTATGACAATCTCGAAGAGATATTGTCACCACTGGGCCACTGGGCCTTGGCCCCAGGGGCACTCACTCCACTGGTGCACTTTGTGGTGCTTTTTTACTGTGGTTTCATGCCAAATTTGCACAAAACAGTGCACACTCTTAGTGGTACTGTCCCAAACCACTATGCTGGTACCAGTACAGCATTGTCTGGAAAGTGTCACACTGAAGGAACAAGAAGGTCAAATTGGTCAATAGGAGAAAATTCCACTTCATTGCATTTTTTTCATTTAAGTGCAGGGTTATAAATGGTATGTAGCAAAAGTTCTACATAGGTCTTGTTTTGTACCTGATACCTGATTTTGCAGGGTACTTGATTTACCTGATTTCCAAGGGTACCTGATGAAGCCAATTTTGAGACGGAAAGAGTTGTTTGTAATACCTTTCCAGTACCTAGGTACCCAGCGTTCGATGTCTCTCAGACAACGAAGATTCTAGTTTCTACGTTGTCCGGCCTATCCTGTTCAAGGTCAGTGGGGGCTTGGCTGCTGTTATGGACCGCGATAGGCTGGATGACAAAGCATCTTCGCCATCAGACATCGAATGTGGGGCTAGTTTGAATAAACAAATATTCAAAAGTAGCAGCTTCAGCTCCCAAGGTCAGAAAACAAGTTCATAGCTTAGTGCATGAATTTAACAAATTAATCGTGGTAAATCAATAAACAAACACTTGCAAAAGCACAAATTGTAATGGGTATCTTTAGTTTAAAGTCATAACAACTGGATTTACTGCCTCTCCCAAAGATCCAACGTCATTTGTCATTTGCCAACGGAAGGGATCCACGATCCACAAACTGACAAAGATGAGGAGCGCGCATTAAAACACTGCAACTTAAGTCAAAGGACAGAAATAACGTATTGGGTAAGTTTCATTGATTCATTCCTCGATTAGCTTTTATTTTCATTGAAACTTGTGCAAAAATTAGGAAACTGATCTATATAGCTTCAAACTAGCTCATTTGCTTTTTGTTCAATCGTTTTTCAACTGTTCCAATATTTTTCTTTTTGCATTTTTAGCATCAAAATACTGACAAAAGATCTGGCTCACGCAAGCCATTAGTGTCTTTTTTAGTAACTGTTCAAAATTGTTTTGTTTCTGCTAATACTGTTCATGTAACTTTTATTAGGACAACCATTGGAAAATAGCCTCTATCTGCCCGATATCCGCAAATATTTGAACAGTTTTATTGATAAAAAAGGAACTTTTGTTTATTGGATCCATGGATCTACTTGGGATCCATAGGGGCTTGAGTATTGCGGTTTATAGTGGTTGGCTATATGTTGTATGGCATGTTCAAATAAATATATGGATCATACATCAGCGTACAGCAAGTTTGGAAAGGTAGGTATGAAGAGTGCAAGGTTTGGTGTAGTGAATGTTTGTAGTCACTAGTCAGCCCTGAAAGTACAAAGCAACAGTGTGGTGGATCCATTAAGCCTGACAGAGGAAGGGTCTGCTATAATTTAAAAGTCGCCAAACCAATTGACTTGGGGAATGGACGAAGATGTCAATTGCTTTGGTAATTCAATTTTAGCAGTCCTTTCACTGTCGGGTTTGATGGATCCTCTGCACTATTGTGCGGTAGGTACTTTAAAGTTTTAAGACCGACTGTATACTGTAACAGTAAGACAAAATATAACTTTCATGACATCAGTTGGAACATAAATCAAAAATTTAAATGTTAAATGAAATGCTTAATTCCAAAATTATTAATAATTGCATACTTCATATCTCAGCTCTTGCATCTACCTATCATCATGGAATCAGAATGCTAAGCCAACACTGGTGGATCTAGGGGGGGGGGGGGGTCAGTTAGGCTTTCCTTATCATTCAGCAGTTTTGGGACTTGGAGAATTCACAAAAACTTTGTTTTCTATGCACATAAAGAATAGGTATCTTTGTAAAACTGAGGGTGAGGCCCACCTTTTTCAAGGATAAATTTTGCTCCTTTATATTTTTTCAATGTCCTGAATATAGAAATGATGTTCATTAGTGCAAATATCATATCATACTCAGCATAATCTAACCCAACCTAACTGTACTCAACCTAACTTGGCCCAGCCCAATGCTATATAAACCCAGCCCAAGGCTAGTATATATGGCCCAGCTCAAGGGCCCAGCCTAACTGAACCTGACCTAACCCTACACCTCCTCTGGCAGAAGTCCAGGCTGGATAGTGGATTGGGTCAGATATGGTTAGGCTAAGTGACCTTCCCTCACTGGATTGGCATGATATATGATACACTATGACTAACGACTAATGAGCATCATTTTTAGATTCATTTCATTGAAAAGCATGGAAAGCAACAAAATTTACCCTTAATAAACTGTGTAGAGCTCAGCTTCAGGCTTCAGACCAGTACTGCCAATATCTCTTAAGCTGCTTTTTCTGAGTGAAGCTGGTACCTACTAAAATATTCAACAACATATGTCAAAGAGAAATCAAGGGAGATTTGGAAATTTGAAAGTCTTTTTGTGATGTGATGTGTGATGATGCCCTCTCCTCTGCATTCTGCAAGACCAAATGTCACCTTTCTGGATCTTCTAATAAAAATCCATTTTCATGTCTAGCAACTGCTCATTATTTGCTGAAATTAGTTAAAATGCACTTCATTTCACTATTTTGTCATCAATCATTTAATCAGAATCTGACACTTAACATTTGTATTTTTTTAGGTATGGTTAAGCATTGAAGACATGCAGGAGTAATGAACATGTGAAATGCTCAACAACATATTCCAGTAAGTGAATCCTGGGAAAGGGCATTGCCTCCATTTGCCATTCACTGTTAATTGCTAACGTACACAACTTCTAAGAATGGATGTCTCCAATTGTGACCTGTGTGCCACCAATGCATTGGCATCTTTCCACCTGAAGATAAAGGAGGCCATCTCTCTTGTCCGGTCCATGTCCACTGAGGACAAGTTGAAGGCTGTCCAGTACTGGAACGTCATCTCGGAGAACCTGCAGGATGTGGTCAACAGCTCTGCCGATGACATATCCGCGCTGCAGTCGCAGCTGTGCGAGCGGGAGAACAGGATGCTGCTGCAGAGCTCCCGCGGTGCCGCGGCGGCCACGGCCGGCCACCAGCCGCCGGCCCCGCGGGGCTTCATCATCCAGCGGACGGAGCTGGACGGCGCCGGACTGGAGGTCGCCCACAAGCAGAGCCGCGTGGCCGTGCTCGGCGCCGGGCCCGACATCATCGACTGCTACCTGGGCGGCCAGTCGTCCGACTGTGGCGAACAGCTCGCCGTGCCCGTCATGGACGAGTATGCCGGCCTCGGTACTTGCCAGGTGCTGGACAATTCCGTGCCAGAGCCGGTAGCCGATACCGGTTTGGCAGACGAGCCCCTGGCAGCGGAAGGAGCTCTCGAACCGGATAGCGGTGAGCCCGATCCAGGGGTCATGGACCCTCTGCCGGATCCAAGCGCTAGTTGTCCCGACGAACATCGTGATGAAGAAATGACTGCGGATTCGCCCGCTGCCGCCACCGGTGGTATACAAAGGATCAACTTGGCTGAGGCTGGCAGAATTGACGAACTTGATTACCAGAATTACCTCTCGTTCACAAGGAACAAAGGAGGTACCGCCGTGGTGCACTTTTTCACCAAACAAAAAGCTTCTTCGTTGGACGCCAACTCTCAGGGCGATGGCTACGAGTATCGTTGTAGCATTTGTCAAAACTTGTATCCCAATTTCAATGCGTTCCTATTTCATTTCGCCATTTATAGTGAACAATTCCTGTGCTGTAAGTGTAGTAGTGATTTTCATCTTAAGTCTCTGTACCGGTCGCACATTGTGGCTCACACACGCCTCAATTGTATCGAGTGCGGGCGAACTTTCACGAGGTTCTGTAACCTGAGTCGCCACATGAAAACTCACACGGGCGAGCGGCCATACGAGTGTCCTGACTGTGGAAAGCGGTTTGCCGAGCGCAAGGACCTGCGGATACACAGTCGGCTGCACTCGGGTGAGCGGCCCTACCAGTGCTCCGTGTGCTCGGCCCGGTTCGTCCAGCTGGGTGCCCTCAACACCCACATGAAGTACCACAGCGGCGAACGGCCTTACCTCTGCGATCTCTGCGGCAAAACGTTCGTTCAGATGGCTGGTCTGAAGGACCACAAGCGACGGCACGAGGGCAAAAAGCGCTTCCCCTGTGAAATATGCTTTGCAGCGTTCGACGTGCTCAGCGACCTGCGCCGTCACAAGCGCAGCCACATGAAGGAGAAGCCACACAAGTGCACCGAGTGCGATAAGTCATTCCCGCGACAGCAGGCGCTGACCGAGCACCTGAACCGGCACTTCGGCACGCGGCCCTACCAGTGCCAGAGCTGCTCCAAAAACTACGCCGATCGGTCGGCGTTCAACAAGCACATGAAGACCCACGGCCGAGGCGCGCCGAAGAAGGCGCCGCGCCGTGCGCCCGCAGTCGCCGGCACGACGGCAGAGACGGAGGCGGACGTCGACGATCCAGCCTGAGTTCGACCGCGAGTCGATTCGGGCAGAGTTTACATTAAACAAACGTACCCTTACTGGAACTCAATTTGTACCTGATCAGTGTTTCATTTAATATATGTAACTGTGGTATCGATACGGGCTGATTTTGTTGTTCATGCAAACTGTCCAAACTGCTCATATGTAAATGTGAGGTCCTCTCGAGTCCTCTGTTGCGCTTACCCATCGCCCTAACATCTAACAACCAGACATCTGCGGTCTCAGTTGATAATGATGACATGCCTGTTTTTACCAAGGCTTAACTCGGTCAAATACCTCGGTCTGGGGTCAAATACCTGATCTGACCACTCCGACCCGCCTCGCGTCACTAATAGCCGCTGACTGGGGACAGAAGGACATCCGTGCCGTCCAACTGACGATACAACTATTTATTTGCAAATTTGGTTACATGATATCAAGGTACACACATCGTGACAGCGTCTTCAATGCCAACGCAATGCTGCTAGGTGAAAGATGAAAGACTAAAATCCGTTCGGGTCCGTGGCTGCGTATTCAGTCCGCTTGTGGTGCTTGTAGGACTCCTTTCTGTAGGTGCGTCGCCGAGGCGGATAGGGTGGTGTGTATGACTCAGGATCGTGCTTAGTCACATAGGGTGGCACGTATGGCTCAGGACCTTGCTTAGGCACATAGGGTGGCATGTATGGATCAGGACTCCGCTTAGGCACATAAGGTGGTGTGTAGGGCTCAGGGCTCTGTTTGTGCGCGTATGGTGGTATGTATGGCCCAGTACTGTGCTTGTGACTGTAGGGAGGTGTGTATGGCTCCGGTCTGGGCTGAGGCACATAACCCGGCAGTTGCTGGGGTATTCCGCCACCCACCGTTTGCTGGGGGGGGGGGCGTTAAACGCCCCCAGCCGATAACTCGAGAACCAAAAGGCGCAGCGTAACGCACGAGGCGGCAAACGAAAGAACGCGACGAGACGCTTCAGATGAGTACTTTAAAGTTG